TTGTTGTTTGGCGGGCCCGGGCTGGGGATTCGAACCCGCCACCTTAGGTGTATGTGGCTGGCACCTTAGCCGCTTGAGCCACAGGCGCCAAGCCACCAGCGAACATGTTTTAGGGTCAGATCAAAGGGCAAGGGCTTGGAGAACTCTGAAGTTTTTCTTTCTGTGCTTCTGCATTGCCCAATTGTTTTTAAAATGAGCATCTTAATTTTTCTCTTATGAGGATACGTATTGGGGGGGAGGACACAATTACAAGAGGGACTTTACCTAACAAATGCAAAAATAAAATAAAACATTCAAACATTATAAAACATATTAAATTAAAAATGAGCATCTCAGTACTTATATATAGTTTCTGTTTTTCAGAAGCACTTAGATCTTGTATTTCTTGAGATGATGGCATTGTGGCTGTAAAATAGCCTTTTTTTTTTTTTTTTTTTTTTTTGAGAGAGAGAGATGCACACTGATTCATGTAGGGACAAAAATCAATGGTATCTGGGGCTGGCTTTATAAAGCCCCAGCAAACAAAAAGAGACAGATGAAGACAATAGAACAGTGTTCATTGTGGAATCTGAGTGACAGACAGCTCATCACACTGTTCTTCTTTGTATATGTTTGAAATTTTTGAAAATAAGAATTTCTAAATAAGCATAACATATATTTTTAAAAATACATTCATCCCATAAAATGACCTTGGGCCAGGCAGTGTGCTGGGTGGGAGTCAGCTGATCAGATCCAAAGCTCTTGCTTCTAGCTGTTCTTAGGGCCACCCCCAAAGGTATCTCCTGGGGTCCATCAGAGCCTGCCCACCAACCCCAGGCAAAAGGACAAGGCTCCCTGGTGGGACATCTGGAAGTGGCACCCAGGTTGCAAAGAGAGACAGCACGAGCACACTCACCACAGACATGGAAGACCTGGGCCCGCTCAGCATCATAAGTGGAGGTGTGGAGGATAAGTTTGTGGTCATCGAAGAGGGCAGCAGGACCCTGGGTCCGCAGGACCATGACAGACATATCTTCCAGGTCTGGGAAGCCAAACAGCAGGGTAGAGACTCAAGGGCCCTGGATGACAGTTCCTCCTCCTCCTGCCCGCCCTTCCCCAGGGAGTGGGTCTCCCAGCCCTGCTCTGTGACCACACTGGAAATCACCAAGAGCAAACCATGAAGATGCCTGGTCGATGTGTGGAGCTACCTGAGATCCTCTCCTGGGCCCATGTTTCCTCATCTGCCCACAGAGACATGAAGTGTGTCACAGTCAGCCTGGTGCCTGACACACGATGGGTGCTCTAGAGAATTGTGTGCAGGGTGAGGGCTGCTTGGCATCACACAGGTGAGGGTCCTAGTCTCCCTCCCAGCATCACGCCCTGTGATGCCCACCAGCCCCTCCCTTCCTGAGCCTCAGGGTTCCCATCTCCAGATGATGCCACTTCCAAGGTGGCTGTGACATCTGTGGACAGCACCTGGTGCACCCCCAGGATGCAGCTGTCTCATTCTCCATGGGGCTGCTGACCGTGGGGCACCACAGAAACATAGGCCAGAGGTGCGGGGTGGGGAGAGGCCCACCCTTGTGTGGAAGGGCAAGCCTTAGCTCGGATGCAGACCAGCTATGTGGCTTCATGACTCTCCCGACCTCAGTCTTCACACCCTCATCTCTAAAATGGGTTGATGAGGTGCTCCACCTGCTGCATAGATGATTATATGGAAATTTGGAGAAAGGGCCTGGCACGAGGTAGGTGCTAAAGCAATGTTAGCATCCTCTGCTCCCTGAAGGGAAAGACTGGGGGGAAGCTTGTTTCTAGAGTTTCTGCCCTGCTGTACGAGTGCCCACTAGTACTGGGGAGAGGCAGCTGGCAGCCTGAGATGGGTTTTCTGGAATATCCAGGTGTATCTGGGGCTGGAACTCTGACCCTGAGCTCTGCCTTCAGAGTGCTGCCTGTGGGTTGGAACCCTTATGGGGAGCAGTGACCCTGAACACCCAGCAACCTGGGCTGCCCCAACCCCCTCACCTTGCAGGCAGCGCACACGCTGGTCACAATTGTCCTGGTCATCACAACTCAGATCATCACGGTCACAGTTCACCAGCAAGATGGCACCATATCCATTGGGCCCCCAGACCCACTGCCGCTGCCAGTGGCAAAACATAGCCCGTGATGGGGGCTCAGATCAGACCTGTGTCTCCCTCCCCAGCAAGCTCTTGGCCAGCCTCCTAACCCTTCACTCCACTCTGAAGGGATAGCCTCATTTTCTTGGAAGCACCGCCTGCTCAAGAAACAGCAATGGCTCCCTATTGCCACACCCTCAATTCCAAACCGCAAAAGCTGTCTTTCACAGCAGTGGGTGATGTGCCTCCAGCCAGCATCCCCTTCTTCAACAGGCAATGTCACAGAATACTTTTTCCTCCACATCTCCTGCCTTGCCTCTGCTCCTGCTGTTCCCTCCACTGGGAATGCCCTTCCTCCTATAGCCCTTCAGAGCCTCCTAGGAAGTCTTCCTTGCTCACCCGGCCCATCGTGACCTTCTCCTCCGAACTCTCAACATAGTAAGCGCCAACACAATTCAGTCCCAAGTTCTTTAACACGTTCACACTTACTAGATTTCCCTTTTCACCTACATCAGGAGATCCACACGTTATGGCCCGCTGCCTGTTTTTGTAAATAAAGTTTTATGGAGACACAGTTGCATCCATTAATGTATGTACTGTCTGTGGCTGATTTCACAGCAGCCACAATGGCAGAATTGAGAGTTTGGCTCACAGAGCCTAAAATATTTGCTATCTGGATTTTACAGACAAAGTTTGTCTACTCCTGACCTAGATTTTGAGTCTCAGGGCTGCGTTATTCTCTGTCTAATGATTCTTGATGATTTTTCTCCTGGTGAAAGATCCCCAGCCATGCCTGGTTCCTATTTGGCTCCCCTGAGCTCAGCATCAGCTGGGAGGCAGGGTGATAACCTGGAATGGCCTCACCCCTCCTAACCAGGCTTAGAGCAGCTCCATACTCCACTCCCACTTCTGGGCCCAGGCAGAGATACCTACCTTGTCCACAAAATTCCTGTCCTGCCTGCCTTCACAGTTCAGGTCACAATCCAGAGAGATGTCTGCAAGGGGAAGGCAGTGGTTCCATTACTACGAAGTTTCCAAGAGCCTAAGACAGGCCCATGGCCTTTACTTTTTAAATCTTGATCCCAGGGCCTACCTGGGACTGGGAAAATGTAAGTCATTCCCAAGGAAACACATCCCAGGGTTGGGGGCATCTGGAGCCTCCCTCTTTGGGCTAGAGAAAAGAGGTTTTGGGGAAGAAGCAGGGTCACAGCAAAGGCTCAGGTAAAATGCTGCCTCCTCCAGGAAGCCTTCCCTGACTGCTCCCTCTTCAGTGTCCCTACAAGCCCTTGCTGTGTTAGAGCATACCCTGCACTGGGCTCAGGTCTCCCAGAACATTCTTGTCTGTATAAAGCTGCCTCAACTCCTTCTGGCTGTGTGTCATCCTTGAGCCTTCATCAGCTGTTCCCACTTCCCAAATCCCACCCCCATTCCACTTTCTTAACGGCTTCTCTCTAGGGACTAGAGGAGGTTTTACAACACAAACGGAGCACTCAAGGAGTCAGAATAAGTCTTACTGTTTTGGAAAAAAAGAAAGCATTCTTGGTTCTTCTTCTTCTTCTTTTTTTTTTTTT